GACCGTGTGCTTTTTTTTTTCCAGAGGGATACAATGCCATGAGATTCGACGATCGTTCGGAATAAAGTGGTCTGCGATAGAGCCCGTTCCCGAGCTTTGAATGCGTCCCGATCAGTCTCTTTTTATTCGTTTTCCGTATGCTTTTTTTTTGATTTGATATCCTTGAATTCTAAAAAACGAATTCTATCTACGACGATTCTATCTAATATTATCAAGTTAAAACTTTTCTCTATTCAATTGCAAACCGATCTCCAAATATCTATTTCCTTCTTTTCATCTAATTTCCAACATGATTTTGTGATTTTCAGAATCCCATATCCGCATGGACGGATACCGATCTCGCACCGGTTTCGCGATGATTGTAAATCAGCGAGGAAATCTCATATCCCCCGATCGAGAAGGCCGTGACGTTACACGAGCCTCGTACTTTCCTTCGTCCAGCCTACGAATGAATTGATAATTCAAAAGGGAACACGTTATTGGTTCCCTTGCAGTGAAAATCTGCAGACCGGTGACTTACGACACATTGCCGGTGACTGGTTATTAGATTATTGGTCGTATCGACAGCTCATGCGTTGGCTGCCGATATAGGATGGAAGGCAGGAATCAGAGCCAGCCTGAGAGGGTGGAGGAAGAGAGAAAGAGGAAGAGAGGAGAGGAGAGGAGAGAGAGAGAGATAAAGGGTGGATCGGTGATGGTGTCGCTGCTTGTGGGTCGCGTACGGACCACGTACAAATATAGAGGGGTGGAGTGGAGAGCGGTATAGTGGTAGAGAGAGGGAGAGAGTGGCGGTGGGACAAAATGGGGAGACCGTGATAACGATAACGTACGATCGGCATTAGCTGGCGGCTTGCTGCGGCTGATGGATGCGCTAATTATCAGCAAGCAGGAGTTACAGTGTTTCGCGTAGCCGTCCGCGCACGCGGACGATCACTATGCGTTTCCGATAGAGAGCCATCGTGAAAAAAAAGAGATTACGCGCCGGCACGGTGACAAAAAAAAAACACGAAAAAATCCTGGAATTGCCGGGCATTTCGATTCGCGTGACGATTTTGGGTGTTTTGGAAAATTCGAATCGAGGATCCTACGCCTCCCCCCCTTCCCCCTATTTGCGAACCTGTGTATCGTGCTGCGAGCTGCACAAGCTTTCGACCAGGCAAATCCAAACCTACACCCCCTGATGACACCTTATTGCATAATTTGCGAATTCGCCTCTATTAACGTGAAAATGCGAATGAATGTGTGGGATGAATTCGGTAAAAATAAAAAAAATAAAAGTAAAGAAATATAATTGTGATTCCGTAAATGGTAATCTGGAGAAGATGGCCATTGGAATCGTGTAATTCGATACGTTTTTAGAGGAAAATTTAATTCGTATAATTCTCATTTTCTTTTTTTTATAAAAATATTTTCGTCGTATTCGTGTGATTCTCCTGATAAAAATAAGATCAAACACGATGGCTCGAATTACCATATTTCTTTCACAATTGGGACAAATCTGGAACCCAGTATCATCATCCATAAAAACAATGTTATAATTATTTCAGAAACGGCGAGATCGATCTTGAAAAAAAAAAATTCAAGACGACAACAACGATATACATTCGAAACGATACGAAAGAAATAGGCAATTTTCTGCCCCTTACGTTCAATTTCGAAGGGAGAGGTATAGGTTCTCGCACATCCACGTAGACCCATACGTATCCGGAAACCGCAAGCTGCGGTCTAAGCCCTAGATGCATCTACGTAACATAATCTACGATAGCGGGGGCGGTGTGCGCGTATACAGCGCACGATCGGTCGAGAGATCCGGTGTCCCGTAATGAACATTGCGCTTGTTTATTTAATGGGAAATTCGGTGGCGCCATAAAGCTCGAAGAAGGGGGTGAAACCTATTAAATTTATGTTTTCGGTTTACCCGCTCTGACGGATCGCAATGCCCGCACGCGTCGACCTCTACGCCACCCCCCTGTCGTGGTTCAACCACCCCACCCACCAACACCGCCATTTCTACCACCTACTATCCCCTACCACTCGGCTCCCCTCTATCTATCCTCTTTCTTCTCTTCTCCATACTCTTCCACTCTCTCTTCTTCTCGCCATCTTTCTCCCTCTCCTCGTGTATCTAGTATTATTCGCTCTGTTCTCCCCTTCCCAAATCCTTTCTCTTTCTCTCTTTCTATTTCTCTTTCTATCTCGTCTCCGTACGTGTGTGTGTGTATGTGTGTGTGTGCTCGTGTCGACCGTATTGGTAGTCCAGCGTAATCCAAACAGATATATATTCGTAGTGCCTAGGGGGACTCGGGCAGGGTTCCGTGAACCACGTTGCGGCGCCCATCGTGACGGACAGCGCCGCGTCAGCGCGTAAAGCATCATCGCGTTTCTGCGGCTTGCCGTACGTTTCGCAATGGGCCTACATCTAAACTCGTACTCGTGCATGTAATTCC